GAGATGCACTAGACCGTAAACACCTTTTGTTCTTGGATAAATGATGATTTCAAGGCCTTAATCAAGAATCCTAACCAGATAACAAGTATAGAAGATAGATAATTACAATCTGGAAGCAAAGAATGGTGTTTTCGGCCCAAAACACTTAAGTGTTCTTGATGTTCTTGAGGATCTTGAAGATCTAGACTCAAAAGATGAGATTTGTGGATGAATTCAAGAGTGAATCAAGAAGAAGAGATGTAACAACAGATCAAAGGATAGAATTCTTACATTTTTGGAAGATCAAGATGAAGATCTTATGATACTTGAGAGAGTTTTCGAGATTTTTGGCTTGAAAAGGAAAGAAATGATCAAAATGATCATGAATTATGTATATATAGGGAGTTTACGGTCACCATGACCGTAAGCTCTAAGCTTCCTGACTGTAAACTCCTTTTGAGGAGGTTTATAGTTTGTTAGACGGTTTGGAACATTAACTGATAAATCCAAACACTGATTCCTTTGATGCACTAGGCTCAGAATGCTCAAACAGACTCTAAACAGTGCTAAAAGTTAGCAGAAACAAGTCTGACCTTGATTGAAGTGAATGGTTGTACAAGATAGAAATTTCGGGTTGTCACACAAGATTTCTCTCAAAAATGGCTCACAAGCTCACACAATGCATTAGGGTTTCGATATCTAGGGTTTGGGACTTGGAGGCTGGAATGAGGCCAGCATGTGGGATTAAGATGCTTAAATAGGGTGCAAAGTCCCGATTTTAGGGTTTCCCAAACCTAGTCTAACTCGTCGCGTGGTCCAGCATTCCAACACGTCGAGTTTTCATCCTTGAACTCAACGAGTTGGCTTCTTAATTGAAGTTTTTCCTTCCTTAATTAGTCTTCGGGATTTCGGGTGTTACAGATGGATTTTAGACGTGGGTGATGAAGTCTACTCGACGAGTTGAGAGCCTCAACTTGACGAGTAGGCCTGACATAATGAAACCCTAATTTTAAGGGTTTTGCATCCTATTTAAACACCTTAACCTCCAAAGGCTGGCCTCATTTACAGCCTCCAAGTCCCAAAATCCTAGCCACAAAACCCTAGAGCCTTGTGTGAGCTTGTGAGACATTTTTGAGAGAAAACTTGTGCTTTTGAAGCTTGTCGAAGAAGAGGAAGCTAGAGGACTCAAGAAGAAGAGATTAGATCCAGAAACTTCACTTCATTTGCTGCATTTTTGGGTAAGCAAGTCTCAAACTTGCTCAATGATTTCTTAGATCTCTTAATTTCACTTTTAAGGGGTTTTTGGTCCAAGAATGTTAGCTTTTGAGACTTGGACATCCCAAGTGATTACTCTTCCAAATCTGGGGTCTAGAAGGGGTTTCATGGCATAAATGAGCAAACTTTATGGCCAAGGAAGCCCCATGCAAGCTTTAAGTTGTCATTTTGGCCTTTTAAGCTCCAAAAGGCCATGCATGGAAGGAAAGTTAGCAACTTTACGTAAGATATCAGCTTTAGGGGACCAGATCTATGGTTTGGAAGCATTAAACTCGTCTGGAAGTGACTGAATGGGTCGTGGTCCCCTACCTTTTCTGATTACTGAGCAAAATCGGTGAGTCTAGGAGATGACCCAGCGAGTTGGCTAAGGTTTCTGGGTTTCGAAGATTGAAGAACTCGATGAGTTCAAGGAAGGACTCAACGAGTTGTAGTGAAATGTCCTGATTCTTTTATAGGAAGGAACTCGACGAGTTCATGAAAGAACTCGGCGAGTTGGGTTGCGATTTCAGGGTTTATGATCGATGAAACTCGGCGAGTTGATGGACCAACTCGGTGAGTTGAGTCAACCAGGATGTTGACTTTGGCCAGGATGTTGACTTTGACTTTGTATTTGACCAAATTTGACCCGTAAGGGGTTATGAGTATGAAAGGGTAATTAAAGAAGATCTTTTGTGTGTAGGAGATTGAGTGGAGTTGATTTCAGAGCCGATGACATTTCAGCTACTTCACGACATTTGAGGTGAGTTACCTTCCAGTAGAAGTGGGTCAAAGCCACCAATGCCGGCCCACTAGTAAGAGTTATAGTTGAGATGATTGTCTTTGTGATAATTATCTGGTATGCCGCTATCTGTTATGTTTTATGTGCTAGTATGCTATGATATTATCTGATAGTGGTAGGAGGGGTAGGATAAGCCCCAGTACCGGTCGAAAGGACCGAAGGGGTAGGCCAGCACCCTGATAAGCTAGGCAGTATATGACTTATGTGTTTATATACTAGGATGTTATATGGTAGAAGTAAGGGGTGAAATAGCCTGCGGTACCGGTCGAAAGGACCGAAGGGGTAGGCCAGCACCTTGATATGCTAGGCGAGGTACCGGTCGAAATGACCGAAGGGGTAGGCCAGCACCCTGATATGTTAGGCGAGGTACTGGTCGAAAGGACTGAAGGGATAGGCCAGCACCCTGATATGCTAGGCAAGTTACCGGTTGAAAGAGACCGAAGGGGTAGGCCAGCACCCTGATATGCTAGGCAATTACCGGTTGAAAGAGACCGAAGGGGTAGTTCAGTACCCGGACATGTTAGACAATATGTTTATTGTATGGTATGTGGTATGATGAGGGAACTCACTAAGCTTTGTGCTTACGGTTTTCAGTTTTTGTTTCAAGTTCTTCTTCTTTGAAGGGAAAGGAGCCGGCACGATAACAACGCATCACACCACGATTTTCCGCACTATGATGTTCTTGAGATTTGTACTCTGACATTATTATCTTATGACATGCTTTTGAGACATATGATCTATGGTTTTTATGAAATTAGATAACTCGGTGATGTTTTCCATAATCTGTTTTATGAATTGTTAAATCAAAAATGAAATTTTTGGTCTTCAATTTTTGGATGTTACACTGTGATTTTTGTGTTTTAAACTGTAAATTGACTATATTAAGCTGTGAATTTTTTTGTATTAAACTGTGAATGTGTTAAGCTGTGAATTTTATGTATTATACTATGAATTCACTATATTAAAATATTTTAAGTTGATAATATGGTTGTGAATTTATACTTTGTGTGTATTAAACTGTGATTTTATTGTATTAAGCTGTAACTTTTGTGTTTTAAATTGTGAAGTATCTGCAATAAGTTGCGCATTTTCTGTTTAAACTATGAATTAACTATATTAAGTTGTAAATTTTGTGTATTAAGTTGTGATTTTTGTGTTTTAAACTATAAATTGACTGTATTAAGTTGTGAATTTTATGTTTAAATTGTGAATTGACTATATTAAGTTGCAAATTTTTTAATGAATTTTATGTTAAAATATGAATGAGTTATGTATGAATGTTTGTATTAATTTTCTTATAAATATATTTATTTTTTTCTTGTATAAATATGTAAGAATGAATTAGTTTTTATAATTATTTTGCATTAAACTTTAAATAAATGAATTAATTGGTTTATTAAAGTGTGAATATAGTATTTTGAGCTATCAATTAATGATTTTATATACAACTCTTATTTGGAAGAAATGTTGATTGGGACGATGATACATGTGGTTGGTGGTAGTGTGTGGTAGTTGGTGGGGGTAGAATTTAGGTTTTACTTATTTAAATATGTGAATTAGTGTATGATAGATTGTATTATGTTATGTTGTGAATTTTATGTATTAAACTAAAATGGATTGTATTAAGTTATATATTTTATATAAATTTTGTGTTAAAATATGAATGAAGGTATGCATAAAAATATTAAAGTATGTATTATATAATTAATGTATTTATTAGCCTGTGATTATGGTATTTTAAAATTTAAGTATATCTTATATAAAATATATTTTTTAAATTTAGAACAAAAAAATTAAATTTGTCAAGGCATAATTTTATTTACTTTTATTAAATTTTTATATATTTGGTTGCAAAAATGAAATAGCATTTGTTAAAATATGACCAGAAAATTATCATTGAATTTGGTGATAGTTCGGCGGCGGTCCGATAGAGGTTTGAGGGTGGTCAGACGGCAGTCCGATGTCGTTTGACAGTGGTCCAACAACAAATGGCAACTAATTGTAAACTAAGGAATGCGATTTTTTGCTTAATTTAATATGAATGTTAGATTTGTCCAAAATGTCTTTAATGAGAACATTTTAAAAAATAGTTTTTAGAATTCTTAACATTTTTGGGTTCTCATTTGAACCACTCCATATATATATATATATATATATATATATATATATATATATATATATATATATATATATATATATATATATATATATATATATATATATATAGGCTTAGGTTATTCTATTTAAACTAATTATTGTGTTATTGTATGCATAAATGTGGGCCAATCATTTTACTTATTTTAAGAAAGTGATTAATACATATTATTAAATTAAAGATAGTTGAAAAATACCATCTAATTTCTAATTTCATTCTAAGGGTATTTTAGACAATTGAGATAAATTTAAAAAAGAAAAATTCCATATTTTTTGGGATAATTAATTCTCTTGATTTTAAAATTCTAATTTTTTAATTACTTTAATTTTAATTATAACGTAATTTTTATAATTAAACACGATTTTATTCTGTTAAAATGTCATTCTGTTAGAATCATATTCTCTAGGAATTTCAGGATATATATTTCTATTAGAATGATATTCTATTAGAATGCTAACACCGACTAATAACAAATTTTTGGATACAACTTCAAATTTTTCATTACATTCTTAAAAATGTAAAAACTTTATATAATAGTCTATGACAATGAAATACTCACTAATAACAAACAAAACCATGTATATTATTCTGTTAGAATGTCATTCTGTTAGAATCATATTCTCTAGGAATTTCAGGATATATATTTCTATTAGAATGATATTCTATTAGAATGCCAACACCGACTAATAACAAATTTTTGGATACAACTTCAAATTTTTCAACAGCTTTTTCATACGGTTTTTCATTCTCCCATCCAAAAGAGAGAAAAACTGTTGTATCAATTTCAGCAGCTTCTGACTTGGGTGAATCTTGTCATATACCACTTTCATTTGTAGTGTCTGTAAGAACAGAAAGGCTACCGGTGCCAACCGCCGCCAGCTCATCATGTTCTAAATCAGAATCACTATCATGCTCCCGAAACCTCTTCACAGAAGTTTTCGCCTCAATTCCATCATTAACCGAATGCTCGGCAGTTACAGCTACCTCTGAAACTCGGTGAAGATTAGTTTGCATTTGTATCCACCGATTCAAGGTCGGAAACCTGAATTAGAAGTTAAATGGCATTCAAAATCGGGTAACCAACTAACTGAATTCAGTTATATATGGAGAAAAGACAAAAGTAACCTCTCGGATTGATCAAGTGCAAACTCAAAGAACAATCTATCAGCATCATGCTTCTAGACTGACCCTGGCCCATCAGTCAACGAGCCTGACATGGTTGATGAGTAGTCATTGCCACCATATAAAATACAATTCCTAAAAACACATGCTAAAACAGCCCTGACTGGTGACAGTTTCACAAGATGCTTTACAACATCTAACTGAAGAGGGTACAGGGGAACTCCAGGTGTGGCTGAGGACGGACAATAAGAACTCGGCTTGGCTTCTTTTGAAGATGGGGATAAAAGTTTACCCTCTGAATCCTCTTCGTGTCCTATTTCTTCAGACTTACCCTCTTCGTGACAGCAAAAGACAATTGAATCCACTAATTAAACAGGGATTTATATCATGAATCCGCTGAGAATCGACATACCGATCATCAATTTCAATGGAAATTAAATCAGTAAACTGAAAGAAAAGGGAGCATCGACATACCGATCATCAATACCAAAGGTAGGGTTTTCTCTAAGGGGCTGAAACGAGAATCGACCAAGAAACCTCGCAACACACTTGCCATAGATACGCGAACGAGTTCGCTGAACCAACTGTCGCCTCGAGGAGATCGAGTAAATTGGACTGTTGGGCTTCGATTTGATGAAGTTGATTGCGGAGAAATGTCGATCAGTGGGATAGTTTGGGGGTTCGGAGGGGGAATTCTAGGGTTTGTTTGGGGGAAAAGACTGCGGGAGATGCAGCTTGAGTGGTGGCGGCGTAAACATAGGGGAGAGGCGAGTATGCTTCATTGATCGACGAAGATTGAGCCACTGCCATTGATTTTCATCAGAAATTGTAAATGGTATTAGGCGGAAGAAGCAGTGGCGAGGAGAACGATTAATCGGTGATCGAGACAATGAGGAAAGTGACCTACGACGCAGAGAGGAAGAAAGAGGCGGATTTAAGATTTAGTTCACTTGTGTGATCCTATTACGGTGTAGGTGGATTTTAATAGGGTTAATAATAAACGGATCCCTGATTATAGGGATTATTTTTGGTAGTTACTAAACAAATTACTATATTACCCTTATTTATTTATTTAATTATTTAATTTTTTATTTAATTTTGATTGGCCCACATTTATGCATACAATAACACAATAATTAGTTTAAACAAATGAACCTAGCTCTCTCTCTCTCTCTATATATATATATATATATATATATATATATATATATATATATATACTAGCTGTTTACCCGCGCCAAGCGACGGGTGCATATAGTTTTTTCAAAAATTAGTTTTAGAGATGATTAGTTCTTTTCTGCAAATAGTTTACTACATCTAAACAATTATCAATAAAAGTTAATCGTGCAACAATTCTTTATACACCACATTTAAGATATAAACTTCATCCTCATTGAACTTTTTTCAGTGTTCACTAATACATTTGTAATGTCACGTGATGTTCCTATGGACAATGCAATGTAAAGTTTCTTATGCGTGAAAATAGTTTTCAGTCCACTAATTTTTCTTTAGTCGAGCGTTCTTTAATTCCATTTCGATGATTAGTTTCCTTTTGACGAATAATTTCTTGTAGCTTCATTTTGATGGACAATGATAGTTTCATTATAAACATATGATATTACAAAGAACATGAAACGCATCAACATATATCTAAGTTTACTTGGTGCTTTAAGGTTTAAGGATTACGGTTTACGGTGTAGGGTTTAGAGAAGTGTTAGTAGCATGGTCGTAGGTGGCGTTTTCAATGTGGTGATTTTGAGATAATAGCTTTCTTTAAAGCAAATAGTTTTACTTTAGGTGAATAGCTCTTTTTGAAAAACGATGAATATTTTTTTCAACAAATAGTTGTTTGCTAGTATCCTTAAGACTTTTGTATCGATATATAATTAACAAAAAATGATAAATGATATTTGAGATTACGATTAGAAACCAATGTTTTATTTTATTTTGTTTTCATATCCAAATCTCTCATTTGTAGAAATATTATTGTGGTCTGACAGGTTAAATAATAATAATTCTTACAATTAACTATAGTGATCGTTAACAAAGAAAATTATTGATCAATCAAAACATCAGTTTACCATAATACCGATGGTATAATATCATTGATGTCTATATTGTTATAATCGATATCGATAGATTGTTTAAAGTTTCACGTCGTAATAAAAAAAGTTAAATGCACAACTTACATATATTAAAATAAGAGAGATAAAAATATAAAAAGAAAGGTATAAATAAAGACACATGTCATGTGTATCATTTGTATAAAGATAATAATTTTTTTTGACAATTAATTTTACATACATTCATTAAGATAAGGTAGTTATTTGAAAGTTGATAACTATTTGTTATATGAACAAATATTTAATTGTAAAGTTTTTTTTAGCACAAAATAAGATATAAATCCAAACATATAACATGTTATCTTAAATTATTCCCCATTATTTTATGATGATGCAAAAATAATATATTATATTTAAATATTATAATTACCATGTGTATTGGTAATTAACATACGAAGTAATTTTGAATGCATATATGCATCCATTAATTTTTTTTTTTATTTTGTTAAATATCACGTTTAATCTTAGTTTGAGGGTGAAACTTGCCGAATCATTTATTAATTTTCTTATTATATTTGACAGTGAGTGTTTGATTAAATCGCATCTTGCCATGAACTGGCAGCCATAACTAAAGCTCAAATCTTTTCCACTTCCAATCCAAAATTCCCTATAGACATAAGTAGACCATAAGAAAAACATTTGATTGTGAAACTCTTAAAAAATCCATATTATAAAAATTGGAAGGAAAATACAAATTTCAAGACCAAGAACCATAATCATACAAAATCAAAAGGAAACAAACATAATTAAATTTGGTTGAAATTTTCAAGTACAAAAATATTGCAGCAAGAAACAAAAATAAGATAAAACAATGTACAAACCAACGAAAATAAGTTGCTATATATTGCATTTAAGCCTTCTTTATTTACCAAAGTCATCTTATTTTCTAGCACATCTATACAACCACTCCTAGATTTGTTCTATCAATCAATCACCTTTACATTTTGGTTCTGTAGAGTAACCAACCTATCATAACAGAGAAAAATGTTGATCGAATTCAGTGAAGTTGTAAACGGCATTACCTACATCTAAACATGCAAGACTCATAATTGTGTGGTGAGGGAACTTCAAACACAATCATGCACTAAGAGCTCCAATATAAAAAACACCAAACAAAAAACTTGGATTCTCAATATTTGTCCTGTTGAGTTTTGAGTTTACATGGTTCATACAAAGTAAGATGCTATATTATACCCAATAATGAAAGTAATTTGCTAAAAAGAGCAAAAATGCTAACCAACCCAAATAGAAGCTTAAAGGTTGAAATTTGAAAATCCACGCAAACTGGCCCCTTCTTAAAGAAGAAGAAGGAAAACAGACTTGGGCATTGATTGAGAAGACCATTTCAGCAACAAAAAACAACCTGACATGAAGAGTCAATCAATGCTTTTGTAATTAGAAACAGTCATGCATTAAAATCATGTTACTTGTCATAATTCCATTACTCTTATCCTGCAGGTGATCAAAAACTTACAATATCAAGACCTGTATGCGATTAAACAATGAAACAACTACAAAATTTCTTTGAGACCTTACATCATACACTTGGGGTGCATGTTTTGTAAACCCTCAAAATAACTGCAAACCCATATTTTTGTGCTGACCTGGGAAGAAAAAATCAAATCTAAGGTTCTCAAATCCAGGAAAAAAAAACTAAAAAAGCAACAAATCAATGCTCATACATGATTCCACAGGTAGAGGTGGATATGGTGCTACGGTTGATGTCGAGAGAAATAGTGGTGGTGAAATCAAGCGATGATGGTGCTTACCTGAGGTGGTGGTCCACAAGATAGGTGAACATACAAGTGAATGAGGCAAGATCCAAGAGATAGGTGCTGAGAATCTGGAATTCAATGCTCAATTTCAAAACTGATTGTCATTTGTTCTTCCGTGATTATCTTACGTGATGCAGAGATTATGGTATTGTAAATGGAAAGATGGTTGGGAATCTTATGTAAGAGGAGGCAACGATGGTTAGGGTGAGTGAGGACGGTTGAAGGATGAACGAAGATGGTTGACGGCTACTAAATCGATGGTGATGGCAACGGTCGAGAGTGGTGTTGGTCATTGTCTTCTAAGAGATAGGGGAAATATGTGAAGGTGATGGTGGTGCGGTGCTAGTGGGTGGTTGAAGCAAAGATGGTTGTGTATGGTGATGACGGCGGAGACTTGAAGGAGGGACACTAAGATTTTCTTAATTCTACCACAGGAAGATGGGAGATATAGGCGACGGGAGCCGATGCATGGGCCTAAAAATTGGGATTTTAAATTTGAATTTCATACATTATCGTGACCTATTTATATCTGTATTTATGGGATATAAAATTGGCTGAGTCAAACTACCTATTAATAAGGAAATATATGAAAACATATGCATTAATCACTTGTATTTGTTAGTGCTCATGATTCAGCCGACATAAAGTGAGCAATACGGTTTGTATATATTGTATTATTAATTATTATTTGAATAATTGGCTGGAGTTTAGCTATCACGGGGTCAAATTTTACTCATTCAATTCAAAAAGAAAACATCCTTATCTTTCAACTTGAAAATTCAAAAATTGGTGCTCCAAAGGTCAAAAGATTGCGAGATATAAGGAAAACATATGGGAACATACGCATTCAGTAATTGTATTTTCAGCTTCTTGTTTTGTACTACTTAATAATTAAGACTATGTTGTCCTAAAATAGGTAAATGTATTTTAAGGTATTAAGATATATATATATATATATATATATATATATATATATATATATATATATATATATATATATAACCTTTTAGGTATAACCTTTATAATTACTTATACAAATTTAACATACTTAAACAAACTATTTTAGGTTGTTTTTACGTATTGAGAAAATTTGATTTGTAGTCTTAGACTGATTAATATGGATCATTTTTTGGCGTTGAGAGGCTTACATGGCCACCCTCAAAGGTATTAAAGGGGATTAGAACATCACCCCGCCTTCATGTTATGTAGAGTGATGTAGAGAATGCTATGTTAAAAAACGTCAGTAGGTAGGCAATTGACTAACCGTGCTTCTTCATTTGATTTCATTAGTTTTTTTACATATTTAAATTTTAAAAATAATAATAATATGGTGTGTATATTGAAATGGTATCTGAGGTGGAAAAAAAAAAGAAAAAAAATAGTATGGAGGAACCATCTAGATCTGGCAATAGAGCGAGTTTTGACTCTGATCCGATCCAAACCCTTAACAATTATATGGGTTTGGAGCATAGTTTTTGATCCGTTTACCCGTTAACGATTTGTACTTCATAACCCTTTTATTAAAAGGGTCGGGTATAGATCATCACCGATCCGCTTCGTTATATAACTCCCCGTATAAATTTTAGAATGATACATTTATAATTTATACTGCCTAAATTTTACTTTTAATTCCAATCGAAAGTCCAAAGAGAAAATGCCAAAGACTAAACTGTTTTTACATAGGACTTGATGATCAGTCTTCTATCAAGAGTCATGATGTCATTTTAATTATATTTCATCAAGTAATCATCAATTTCATTTATAAATCAATAAAGTTATTTATCAACCAAAAGAAAGTTTTCAATTGTTATTCTCTATCAATGCAATCGACGGTCAAAAACTAATCTGAAGTTACTACAATAATGATTTTATTTTCAATCGAAAGTCCTCGAATATATAATGTGTTTTCTAAATCAACATTTATTTTATTTAATAAATGTTATTATATGATTTAAGTAAAATGTATTTGATTATTCAAAAAATCTAAAGGTTATAAGGCGAGTTTGAAGATATGTTGATTCGGTTGAATAAGAATATAAGTTTGATTATTCAAAACCTATGGGTTTGGATCGGATTTTAAAATTTGTTAAAAGGGTTTGGATCAAGATCGATTCGTTCTAAACTCACCCTTTGTCCGGTGTAGAGCCCATCCAAGTATAATTTGATTTTAAAACTTTAATTGATTTGTGACAATTGCATAGCACCCGTACATCGATGGGTTCCACAGCCATGGCTTCAATTTCTCACTACCCTACAACTGCATCCGCCTATGACCGCACCCGCGCCACCGTCAGCGTAACTGATTTCCGGTGACAGCCGAAGTTGCCAACGCCGCCCTTAGACTATCTCCTCTTACCCTAACGGCGATGTAAGCCACACGACTGATATGAATCAGACGTCGAAGAAATGACCAAAACTGAGTATTTAAGCATGAGAAAGATCAAGCCTCAATTACCCCCCTCTCTGCCGTCACTTGCCACCAACTCCACCAAGTCCTACAATGCTCTGATCAACCGTCACTCAACCGCCGGTTCTCACCGCGAAGTCCTCCTCCTCTACTTCTCCATGCTCAAAACCAACATTATGCCGGACCCCTACACATACCCAAGTATGCTCAAAGCTTGTACTTCTCTAAACCTCTTCTCACACGGCCTTTCTTTCCACCAACATTCCATCGTCAATGGGTACTCCTCTGATGCCTACATTGCTGCTTCCTTGATTAACCTTTACGCCAAATTTGGGTACACCGATGTTGCCAGCAAAGTGTTTGATAATATGCCTGAGAGAAATGTTGTTCCCTGGACTGCAATTATCGGGTGTTATGCTCGATCAGGGAAGGTAAATACCACGTTTCAAATGTATAAGCAGATGCAGTGTGAAGGAATTAAGCCAAGTTCAGTCACCATATTAGCCATGCTTTCAGGCGTTTCAGAATATACCCACGTCCAGTCTCTTCATGCTTGTGCAATCCAATACGGGTTTGATTGTGATTTATCTTTAGCCAATTGCTTACTAAGTTTATATGGGAAATATGGAAGTGTCACTGACGCTAAGAACTTGTTTGAATCAATGGCTAATCGAGATATTGTCTCTTGGAATTCTATAGTTTCTGCTTATGCTTTGATTGATGATATTAGAGAAATCTCACAACTTTTGTCTAGAATGCTTGTTAGTGGATTGAACCCTGATCAACAGACGTTTGGGTCATTAGTTTCTGCTGCTACAAGACAAGGTAACCTCAGAATCGGGAAACTGGTGCATGGGAAAATAGTCATCAGTGGTTTTGAAATGGTTTTCCAAGTTAAAACATTACTTATAACCATGTATCTTAAGTTTAGAGACCTAACAAACGCCTACCAAATATTCGAATCAACTCCAAATAAAGACATGATTTTATGGACTTCAATGATCTCTGGGCTTTTATGGAATGAACGTCCAGATAAGTCATTGGAACTGTTCCATAAGATGTTAATTTCACAGGTAATGCCATCCACCACAACCATATCTTGTGCTCTTGCAGCATGTGCTCAATTGGGGTCTTTACTTCTAGGAACCTCAATCCATGGGTATATATTAAGGAAAAAGATTCTTCTAGACATCCCTACTCAAAATTCTCTCATTACCATGTACGCGAAATGTGGGAGACTAAATCAAAGTTGTGCCCTTTTCGATACAATGAACCATAAAGATGTTGTCACATGGAATGCCATGGTTGCAGGGTATGCACAAAATGGTGAATTATCTAAAGCGTTGTATATCTTTAACAAAATGCGAGAATCTTTTGAGAGACCCGATGAGGTAACAGTTGTATCTCTTCTCCAAGCTTGTGCTTCCGTTGGAGCTTATCATCAAGGAAAATGGATACACAATTTTGTTGTTAGAAATTGTCTTGGTGGGACCCGGTCCCTCTTAATCGACACAGCTTTGGTTGATATGTATTTCAAATGTGGAAACATGAAGAATGCTAGAGAGTGTTTCGATAGAATGTCACAACATGATGTGGTGTCATGGAGCATAGTGATTGGTGGGTATGGTAGTCATGGTGAAGGGGAGAATGCTTTGAAAATGTTCTCAGAGTGTTTGGAAACAGGGATTGAACCAAATCATGTTACTTTTTTATCGGTTCTTTATGCTTGTAGTCACAATGGGCTTGTGAAGGAAGGTGTTAGGCTCTTCGAGACTATGGCAAATCATTTCAAGATGGAACCAAAACTTGAACATTGTGCTTGTGTTGTTGATCTTTTGTGTCGAGCGGGTAGGGTAGAAGATGCATATGATTTCTACAAGAAGATGTTTAAAGAGCCGGCTGTTGATGTTTTAGGGATTCTTCTTGATGGGTGTAGGATTAAAGGTAATAAGGTGCTTGGAGATGTTATTGCATGTGATATACGAAGGTTGAAGCCTGAAGATCCTGGGAATTTGGTGCAGTTGGTTCATAATTATGCTTCGAGTGGTGGATGGGATGGTGTGGGTGAAGCATGGATTCAGATGAGGGGTCTTGGATTGAAAAAGATTCCTGGTTGGAGTTTTATCGAGTTAAATGGGAATATTACGACTTTTTATAAGGATCATACTTCACATCCTGAATATCATGAGATAGTAATGTGTTTGAAAGCCATGGCCATGCATATTAAACCACGAAAATCAGCCACAGATTGTTTGGAATAAGAGTATTTGGTGGAACAATACTTTTTAACACAATGGTGCTTTTCAACATCTCAGATAGTTTGTTACCTGTTTATAATCCTCTGATTTTGGCATATCTGTAATCAATTCGGCATGTCACACAAAACACCATTGACATCTAGAAGTAATTTTTTGAGAAAAAGTATTTGTTTTACGTTCCGATACATGTACAGAGCTATTTTTATGAAAGGAGAGACGACCGAAAAGCTTCATTCACACTCACACGGTATCTCTAACAAATGAAGAAAACTATTTTAAACATGTTTTTCTGTTTCACCTAGTCTCGGGTGTCTTGACTGCAGGCACCTCATCCGCATAACCAGACATGTCAATATCCACAAGTGATAGGTCAAAGGGTATTATTGACGGGGACTCGGAGACATCCACTAGCAGCGATGATGAAGGAGTCGGTACCTTTTCTTTAGTCGGACTTCCAATTTCCGGGGTTGTATGTCCTGAATTGGAATTTGACATACTTGACACTGATAGCTGTATGTCACTTAACTTCCCTCCTGGAAGATCCTTGCTTTTCCTAATCGTGTCCATCTCTGACCCCGTTGGGACAAAAGTGCGTGCCCTGTATTTCGTCCCCCCGTTTTCTTCCCCCGAGTCGCTGCTGTGGTTGTACAGTACGTAATCGTGGTATGTCGGTGCAAACTGCAAAGGGGAAAAGTCAAATGACCAAAATACCCCCGAATGATGATGAAGATCTATCTAAAAGGAAAGAAAGATGAACAGACCTGATGGACGGTGTCATGATAGAAGTCGTTCAATTTCAAAGCATGTGCAAGACTAGCTGTAAAGCCACGGGGTGCACCCACATTCGCACCAGCATACTCTCTGTACGGAAACGCATAAAGATGACCCACAGCAGCAATAAGCATCTCAACACAGATAATCAAGTTTTGGAACTGAGCTGCTTCCTCTGCGGTTTTTATAAAGTCATACTTTGCAGCAAGAAAAACCAAAACACCCTGGAAACCAAATAAAACCAACAAAGTCAAATAATATTACATATTTACTTGTGCATGTATATATACCTTACCTGCCAATAGGTCATAAAAACAACACTCTTAATGATGATGAATTTTGGAACGGGATTAAACGGCTGGAGCAAATCCCTGCATGCCATGTAAAACAAGGCCAAAGCATAGAGTGCCAGACTGTATGAAATGGTGTATATAATGGTGAGATATAAGTAGGATTGTGCCACGCTGAAATTCCCATCATTGTATTTTCCTTGTGAATAAAGTAGAAAAGTAACTGCCACCAATATAGGTTTTAGAATCACAAACTGTAAACACCCTTGTTTGCATCTCCTTATAAATCGTCTGCACAAAGAGAAATACATAACTGTCTTGTCACTACACTACAACATCAACATAACCAGAAAGATAGTCTCATTGATCTCACCCATCCAGTGGAATAGGAGGGAAGCAACATGTCATCAAACACCAATTTGACTTAAGAGAGCGCCCGGTAAGGCTTAAAACAACCGCACCTGGACCACCTACCCATGCCAGGCACAGTGACAGAAAGTTGTATATAACCCAAGCTTCATACCTGTAGTAAACATTAAACAAAAAAAAGTATTTACTCAAAAATGCACATTTATATTTACAACTTCAGTCTTATCAAGCAAAAAACTAGCTTTTCTGACAAAGAAGCATGTTTAAAGAATCCAAATGTTGGTACAGTAGTTACTTTTCCAAAATTAGGCATTGAATACTCACACTTCTCGAATAGAATTGAAGTAGATTGAGCTCTTATTGAATACAAGCGACAAGAAAGACATCAATGCATAAACCTGCAAATAAACAACAACTCATTGTAAAATGAAGCAAAACCCACACAAACAAACATCAATGAACAAAGATAAAGAAAAATTGAAACATCAACACTTAAAAGAGTTTAAGGTAAGATCACTAATACACGCAAAAATCAACAGGGTAGAATTTGGGAGACCATCTGTCAAATCTGCCTAAATTATGGAGGTGTAAATCCTTAAGTGAGGTCTCCTGTTCAAGCCTGATCATCACCTTCCTTGCTCTGAAAACAATGTGATTTACATTTACCTCCCCCATATGTTGCTGTGTTTATCCACTTACATGCATCCTTAACCCTACTAGGTTTTACAAATCTAATTCTGGATAAAGGTATACATTTCTAACTAACCAAATTAATGGGATTTGAGACAATTACTAGGTGTGTTAGTTAAATTATAACAGATTTATGTATGCAATTGGGAATATACTCCCTCCATCCCTAAAAAGTTACCACATAGTTTATCAAAATGTTTGACTATTAATTTAAGGGTCAATGTCACTACATAGTAAATACTAACCAAGTTCCAGATCCTATTTATGGCTGCCCAAACTTGTACAAACAACTATTTGAAAAAGAAATTTCTCTTAGAAAAGATTTGAGGTACCTAGGTGGAACAAACAGAAACTTGGTTATTATTTAACGAAATTGTTTAGGGTTGCTAGGCCATTGCCATGCCACTGCTACATCATTGTCAAGTCATTAGTCAAACAGTCAAACAATTGGCCTAGTGGTATCAGTCCCTCCCCAAAGGAGCTTGAGGGTTCAAGTCCCATGGTGGAAAAGCTGTAGTTTTGGAGTAGGACTTAGAGGGTGTGTGTAGCCATTCTATATATATATATATATATATATATATATATATACCATCTTATAAAGCATACATATCTAATGTCTTAAATACAAAATTTTAAGCATGATGTACAACAAACTAAGCCTAATGTCTTAAAATTCAAGGGGGTGAAATCTTGACCCTCCATTCTTATTCCAATGGCCAAGATGGTAATCCATACGATCCAAAACTGACCAATCAAAATCAAAGGAAAAAATATACAATTTAAGCTCAATGTACAAAAGATTAAGCATAAAAAAACACATATTGACCTATTTTTTTGTTTACAAGCCTCCCTCTTTCTGAGACCTAAAAGCGTCGCTCTCTTCTACTTCCTCGCCAAATCTCGATTCAAAATTTGAATTCAACACGCTCCTTTCTGAAAAACCTAACGCGATTACATCACCGTTTTTCTTCACCACAGTTGTGGATATTTTTTTCACCCGAAGACCGACATATCCCAATTTTTTGGTTAACGACATACTGACCTATTGCCACTGCATTTCTGGTGGCTTGAGATCAGAATATATCACTTACAAATGGAAGTACCTAGATTGACAATTTTCACGGTTGGTGTTCTTCAAACTATAAACACGCATATGACTATTTGATTTTTTTAGTGGTCACAGATCTCTATCAATCTCTCGCTCTCTCTCTTTTGCAGAAACAAAAGGCAAACACACTCATATTTGCAGAGAGGGGTTTGGAATGCGCAAAAACATGGAGTTTGTAAGAAGATTGCGAGGAAAGTTGGATCCAGTCACCGGGTAAAGTTTTGATAACCTTTCTTCATCTTTTTGTCTCATTTTCTCCCTTTCTTTCTTTCCTCCTTCTTTAAACTTTGATGGCTAAAATATTAATGTTGGATCTGGTCTCTTGGTTCATGGGGTGGTTTGTTTTGAGCTGAAATCGTAAATGTAAACTTTCAGATCTAATTTATGTTTTGGAATCTTACAGTTTTTGGCACTCTCGCAGAAAATTCTAACGCTTAAGACATATGTTGATAGATTCCATCCAGGTTAAACCTTCATCGGTCATTTTAGATTTTTTTTTTTTTGAAATTTCCTTCTGTATAATAAGAATAATGCTCAGATCTTTGGTCACAAACAGCTGGAGAGGGATTCATGAATGAAAAATGGTGTATAAATCAAAATCAAACGGATGCAGATGAGTATGGAATGAGTAAGAGTGAACCATAGACATCGACGTTGCTCTTCTCTCTGGGGTCTATGATATCAAACCAATATGTATTCAAGACCTATTTCAAATATGTAAGTGAAATTTGGCGCATTAAAATTAAAAAGAGCGCCTAAAATTTTGGATTTATGTTTTCTTTTTACTGTGTGATTCATTAATCGATTTTATGCTTGTGTGTTATCTTTTTACTATGTGATTCACATCTCGGATGATTTAAATAGATTTTTGGTTTAGATTTATTTATTTTGCTCCTGTATTTTTCTTGAGTTGTTGATGTGTGTCACCTTTCATCTGACTTTGGACTATTTTGCCCCTGCAGGTTTTTTGTCTTATGGATGGTTCAAATTGGTGTTGTTCTTGTGGCTAAAGTTGTTATCTCTAATTCACTGGAGAGTTCATTGCCTATGCTGGTTTGCCTTTGAGTGTACATTGCTTTTGCTGCTTTTCACTTGATAGTGCATTGTTGTTATTGGTTCATACTTGGAAGTTCATCGCTATTATTGTGCCACCCTCATAAGTTAGAAGTGTAATGCTTTTTTTAGTTGCCCTGTAATGGCTCTATGTATTAAACCTAGCTTGTAGACTAACCGATTACAATATTCCACGCTTAAAGCTTATATACTTAAGCCAATGACATACATTGTACTGGTTTGACCCTTTTTTCCCTTAAAGGGGTTTGTTGGTGGTATTACTATTATTTTGCTTTATTTCAATTCAATGAAGGCTTTTTTAGGTGTACAAACCTAAGGTTTTTATGCAAAATGCCAACCCTTCCATTGATTGGTAAGTGTTGCCCCATTGTTTTTTGGCACACCTGTTTATTGGAGCTTTATGTCTCTGTTTGCTGCTTATTTCATGTAATCTTATTGATTTGTTCTTGGGCAGGAAAGTTGGTTTATGACAGTCATTTGTTTATAGGACTAATATTTCATCAATAAAAGACGGTTTTTTTTGGGATTTATGATGTGAATAAAAATCTATTTGAGGATCAGAAACGAGCAGGATCTACTATAGGAATAATGTGAATGTTTTTATTGTAGGAAAATACAAGGCTTGACCCCCGAAAGCGAACAAGAAGAAGATTAAGTTAGCATCTAAGTTTACATGTTCTATAGTATAGGTTAAATTTATGGTTTGTAATTAATATTTTGAGTTAACATTTTAAAGCACGACTTCTTTTTTAATTCCTTGGTGGTTGTATATATGATATTTAGAAAAAAGACTTCATCTCTTTATATATTTTCCTTCATTTTACCATTTCTATTAAAAATTTAAAGGTATTTAATGTATTGTCTTAGAAATCAAAACAGGCTGCTTCTATTTGCAAAGCTTGTCAGAACTCCAATTATTTGAGTTTTGTGCGCATGAGTAGAGTAGTTTCAAGTAGAATTTACCATTCTATCATATTTATTAAAGTATTTACTTAAAATTTCAGATAGGAATTTGATATTCGATTTAAACTCCAATATTTCATATTTTAGTTTGATAATAACTTGGATATATGAAAATTTTGTCTTAAATATTTTTTTCAATTAAGCAGTATTAAAAAATAACTTTTCTCTAAGCTACTTTGATTGTTGCTATCTTTTATCTAAGAAATTGTTGCTTTTTTATATTTCTTGATTTCTTTTATTTATTTTAACAAATTGTTTGAGATCAATTTGTGTAATTGTTAGTTTACTATTTTTTTTGTCTTATGACCTACCCAACATAGTAAAGGTTAACTGAGCTAAAGAGAAGGAAAAATGAAATTACAACAATACAGAAATAAAAGATGTTTGCTATCATTTTAATAAACTATCTATATATCAAAATATGAAGTCGTAAAGATGGTCAAACTCTCTCACGATCATCTATATAAATTCTCTCTTTTACAACTGATTTGACTTATGCTTTAGTTTGTATTAATGTCCATTTAATTTATTACGTATTAAACTACCTAAATCTAGGCTTAGATTTACTAATTTGAATGAATTATGAATACCCCATCTGCAAATCTATGCATCCAGCTAGAAACTATATGTGGAAAGGTACTATTTGGCGCAAACCAGCTTGCCGAAAAAATAAAATAACTATCTGCCGCAAAGAAGAAACTAATCGTCGTGTTTAAACAATCTCCCGAAAGGAACTAGCTGCCGCCGCCGCATCGCACGGGTACGCCACTAGTATATATATATATATATATATATATATATATATATATATATATATATATATATCTTCAAGAAAAAGTTTGAGGACCTAGGTGGAACAAACTTGGTTACTATTTCTTGAAAAACATGCCCTTCAACAAGGACAAATAAACATGCGACTTGAAACTAAAGCTGCTAATTTCTCTAATGATTATTTAGAAAAAGTATACAAAGGATTGAAAATATACCCAAAAACAAACTGTTGCATTTCTTTAGAATGGTGACACATCCCGAAATGGAAAATGTTGTAATTTTTTGGGGTGTAGGGAGTATTATGTATGTAGAAGAAGCATCTAATTTATATATTAGTAACTAGAGTCTAGATATAGATATCTTTCATCTATTACAAGATATGTATTCTTTACTTTTAGCTCAAGTTTATACTAAATTTTAGGATTGGTCTTCCAATACTAGCAAAATAGTCATTGAGGGATGCATAGAGTAATAATAACCTATTTCTATAGTGATCTGTGAGCTTTGCACCTCCATATAAGTACTTCTCACATGAATAGAGACCTCCTCTGATGATAACATTGATTAACCATCCATCTCTATGGGGCATCATTTTAACTTAGCATAAACTAGATGCTGTTCTTTCAAATCAATAATTCCAATAGCAAGAATAAAAAAACTAATTCCATAGTCCATACTGGAAAAGAAGCTTGAACTTGTTAGAACTCCTAAAGACAATCAAACCAACTCTAGTTCCTGAGGATGTTAAACAGAATAGCAAGCAAACAGCTTAATAAGTTCCTCCAAATAACTGAAGTAACAGGATCTTAAAGGCAAAATCAAAGTCCCTACTTCTAGAGAAAGGCAGAAGTTGCTGACTACAATTAACTCATACACCTACGATGATCACCTTCAACAGCCAACATCACAATCTACATAACCCAAAATGCTTGTTGGCATGCCAGATTTTAGCCACACTATCATAGTTTACCTACAAACTCATGTGATGTGTTTGTCTTACTATATTTGATCTTTTTGTAATCTTTCATTTTCTGTGGGGATGAAGATGCCTTTAATACATCGTTGGCTGGGTAAAAAACAATGGAGTTCAGAAACGCAAATTTTGTAAGATGTGCAGTGATACTATAGTAAGAAGCAAAAAACACCATACATGGTAGAGACAAGTAGCCATAGTCGCTAAAGAACAAAGCCCTTATTAACACTGTTCTATAGAATTGAATGACAATATTACTTCAACATAAAATGACAAGAAAAAGGTCCCAGACTATCCAAACTTTAACCAAAACATCTTCATCATTAGTCAGGAATTAAGGGATTAGTAGTGAGTAGTAACAGGTCTTAGATAGCACTGCTTTTCATGCAGAAAGAAATAATCTCTTACCACAACTCAAGTAATATCTTACGATTAGCTGATCAAAAAAGAAAGGAATAAAAACTCACAGGAACCATAAAAATGATGCGGACAATATAACGCTGATACGTGGGTTCAGTGTAATTCAAAAGATGTCGGTAAATGTGAAGAAGCACCAACGCAATTGCCCCAATCGTGCAAGGAAGCGCCACTAATATATAGTATATTGGTCCCATTTTTCGTTTCCCAATACACACCCCTGTTCCCCCTGAAATCCAGATTAAACCAAGAGTAACGACGGATTAATGAAAAATCACCAGCACATCCCTATATGCTAACTTGATGCCAAAGCAATTAGAAAATAAAGGATATAAAAAATAACATAAATAAATTTCCAGGGTTTTGAATACGATGAAGTTTTTTCAAGTGACGTTAGGAAAAAATCGCTCACAATTTGGTGTATATAAACCCTAACCCCCAAAAAAATGACAATTCATACAGATATTAACATGATCATGCAGTTGGTAAAAGAAGACGATATGTAGATGAAATGGCCAACCTTTCTGTGAATTGAATCAGGGGGATTAGGGTCGAAGAAGACGATGACGATACGCAGATGGATCTGCTATTGTTAATTTTTCTGGAATGGCGATCTGCAATTGCCGTCGAAATGCGAAAGATGGAACGATAATATCGGGTTCCCGAGATGCAGCGATTAACAAATTTCTAAGGCAAAGCGATGCACTTATTCTGCAGTTATCGGTTTCCAGGTTTCTATAATAATTCACGGCAACATTTCCAGCTAGAAAGAAATTATTTAATCACGTATCTATCCATAATTCCATATACCAGGCATTAGTTTGATGCTAATAAGTCGTTGGAAAGAATATATAGAGGTGAAACAATATTATTAAAAAATAATTTGATTCACAAAATAAATGCTAACATATTTTCACAAAATAATATATACTATATAATAAAACTCGCATGGAATCAATGGCAGATTAAGAAAAATCCTCCGTAGGATATGATATAGTCAAGTCGAAGTCTAAATGGTCAAAATAGTTGGATCGAGTAAAAATGATCCACTTTTCGGTCCAATCTAGAAAATATCTCAAGTAATATAGTGTTTCCATAGTTATTATTAGAACTGCTTGATTTCAAATGTTGGTTAATGTTGTACAACTACGTTACTGTTTTCTTATGTATATATTAGAGTTAAAAGAATATATTGTTTTGATGGAATAACCATATATTTGTCAGCTAAGGCCGGAGGGAATGGCGATACACTTGTCACGGTCTACGTAGTGTCACATCATATTTGTCACATTGCGCAGCAAAAAACTTTCATTAAACTTCATTAATTTATATTAAAAATAATCAATTCAACCAAATTATTTTAAAACTAAAATTTCATTAAACTTCAAAGAAAATTACAACAAACAAACCCCAAAAAAACAACATAGAAATTAAAAATAGAAAACATGGAAATTAAAATTATCAAACCTAGATAGAGCTAAATGGCATATTCATCGGAAAATTGACCGTCTAAATCATCGACCGGTTCCGCGTTAAGATCGATGTGGTCGATGGTCCAAATATTTTCCATCAAGTCTTTACGAAGAACATGATGGGTCTCAACATCATGAATTATTGCCCTACTCGCCAAGTACTTCTCGCTTCCAACCTCAAAAGCTTGTGTCGGTGGAACGGTCTCGTTTTCGTTATACTCACATATTGCATTTCATTCGTCTTCGAGAATCATATTATGCAATATGATACAAGTACACATCACCTCACTCATTTTCTTCTCCTCCATATAAGGTGCAGAATATTTAAGAATATGCCAACGTTTTTTCAAAGCACCAAATGCTCGTTCGACTTCCTTTCTCGTCTTCTCTTGAGCTCTCTTAAACTTCAACCTTTTGTGATCATTCGGACAAGACAGTGACTTCACAAAACAAGCACGCTCCGGATAGATCTCGTTCACAAGATAATATTTGTTCCTCTACGACGTTCCACGCACTTGAAAAGGAGGAATCTGGTGCAGTCTCGTTATACACTTCGTCGAATAACGGAGACATGGTAAGAACATTAATGTCATTAAGAGAACCATCAGAACCAAAGAATGCATGCCATATCCATGAATCCTGTAACATCCCAAAATCACAATAAAAATTTTCATTTTTAATTAAAGAGAAATCATTGTTTTCAATCAAACCCAAGTCATAAGAACCAAATATCAAGTACAAATGTTCCAAAATCAATGTATCATAACATCTCAAAAACATATCACCAAAGGATGTGTACGATCACGCATTTGTTTTTCCCCGATCATCTGAAGTACCTGAAACATAAAACTTAAACTGTAAGCCAAAGCTTAGTGAGTCCCCCCAAAGTACCACACACAACCAATACAGATAACAGCATGCATATATGAGCCTTCAGCCTGACTGAACCGCCACGTAGGGCCTACAACCTATATGGACCGCTCTCTCAGGCCTTCGACCTCACTGGACCGCCTCACATGCCTTCAGTCCATCCCGACCGCCCCGGGTATCTTGGCCTTCAGCATAAAGCAGGTCCGCCTCAACCCAACAAACCATAACATGTTGACATATATAATAACAATCAATAACCAGCAACACAGGTAATCATACAGATCTACCAATCTAACGCATACTCAGTGAACACAAGTAATCATGCAGATCTACCAATCTAACACATACTCACCATAACATCAATCCAATATACTAGGATACATAATCCAGTGGGCCGATATTGGTGCCTTCGACTCACAAATACAATGAGGAAAACTCACATCGCGGTCTGAAAAGTATAGCAGAAAAGAACGATGCTCCAAATTCCAACTCTACAGGTCACATATAGAACAAACAATGACCTAGTCTCAAACTACTGCTCAAAATACCTAAAATACCCCTAGGTCAAATTGAAGGGTTTTTGAGCACTATAACACTCTTATGGTGCACATACACCCCTGGATGCTTTGGATCTAAGTTTTCTCTACATACACATGCAATATTGTTTTTCCAAAGCAAGGAACCTAATCTAGCATACAACATGACATATGAATCATAAAACTAGTTATAGAATTACCTCTTGTTGTAGCTTGATGTGTTTGGCCTTTAAGAACTTAGCACCTCAAATGTGATGCCTCTAATGTGTCACAAACACCAAATGTAAGAGGAGGCTTGAGAGAATAAGTTACTAAGCATAAAATCGGTTCACACTCTCCAAGAATGTATTGGCAACCGATTTTAGCTTTAGGGAGTTCCTTTTATAGTGTGACAAGTGCTAGGGTTACATCCATGCAAACCCTAATGCACCATGACCCTTCATATTACTTAGGCTCCATGGGTTAAACCTCCATGGACTATCCATGTTGGTTTAGCCCATCCTAATTAACCATGGATCATTGGCCCACACTATAAGAATCATTGATTTTGTAACGACCCAATTTTTCAAAAAAAAATTCATTTTTAATTAACCAAACACATTTCCATAAATCAAGGGAATTCCAAAACAATTGTTTCAAATCCATATTCATTACAACTTTATTCTCAAATATCAGATTGTCCCATAAAATCGCCTGAGAGAGAGTGCACGCCGCGCCATCAAGCTTTGCCCTTGCCCTTGGACTCAGATGAACCTGAAACAAATCCACAAACTGTAAGCGAATGCTTAGTGAGTCCCCTAGAGCATATCCCACACACAAACCACATAACACATATCGAATTAGTCATAAGCTACATATATCACATAAGTCATGCATTCAACAAATAAGGAAGCCCTAGAAACCCTCCCGGGTCTTATACCAAATGCCACGGGAACCTTCACGTGGTCTTGATCTGCCATGGGAACCCCCACATGGTCTTCCTGCTATGGGAACCCCCACAAGGTCTTCCTGCCAAACAAAACATAATGCAAACTATACAATTTTTAGTTCTCTTATGAATGATGTGACTTGTTCGAGTAAATAATTTATAACTACTTTTTAATTTCCCCAATTTTTAATACAATTTTTAATCTTTAAAGTAATTTTATTTAGAAGATGTACCGCTGTTCACAGGTGGTTCCGGGGCAGTCTCTCCTGCGGTGATCATCAGTATTCGCCCTTTCCCGCCCAAGTTCTTCGTTATCGGGCAGTCCCTCTTGTATTGCCCAGTCTCACCACACCCACAGCAGGCCTGGTTCACTTCTACTCCGGGGACTTGGGAGATTGGTTGTGTCAGCGCCCTGCAGAAACGAGCAATGTGCCCCTTCTTGCGGCAATTCATGCACTGTATCTCCCGGGAAGCTCCGGTGTGGTGGTAGTTACACTTACTACACATCGGGAGAGTTCCAGCATATCAACTGACAGACGCTGGAGTGGCAGGTGTTGTGGCGGCGTGCACAGTAACTACTTGTTGCTCCTACGGGGGTTCCTGTGTTGTTCGTTTCTTCCTCTTGTTCCCCGAATTTCGTTTATAGTCATCTCCCTTTGTTGGCTCGGGAACTGGGGCCACCACGCCATGGCGGACTCCATGGTCAATGAGTTGTTGGGCCAGGCGTTTGGCGCTATCGAAGGTAGTTGGTTTAGAGGCCAATACATCCCCTTAAATCGGGGCAGATAAGCCCCAGATGTACCTCTCTATCTTTTTACTCTCCGGGGTAACCATCCCGGGGCACAGTGCTGCCAGGTCACTAAACCTGTAAGTGTAGGCTACTATATCTGAGTCGGCCATGGTATGATCCCATAACTCTTGCTCCAGCTTTTGTACTTCGCCTCTTGGACAATATTCTTCCAACATCATCTCTTTCAGGCTCTCCCAACCCATTGAGTTAGCCACTGATAGGGTTAGTGACTTAACATGGCCATTCCACCATGTTAGGGCTCTGTCGGAGAAGGTGCAGGCAGCAAACTTCACTTTGCTCCCTTCTGGGCACAGACAGATTTTGAAAACTGATTCAGTTTTCTTGAACCACTGCATCAGAGCAATGACTCCTCCATTTCCATTAAAGGATTTGGGTTTACAGTTCATGAAGTCCTTGTACGAACACTCCCGTGGGTGTCCGTGGGTAACTCTGGGGTTAGATAAGTGGGTACCGCTACCAGATCCACTCGTACCACTTACACATATTTGAATTAAAGCAGCTGTTACTGCGGCTGTTACCGCTGCTTGGAAAGCAGCAGGATCGTGTTGTGGTGGTGGAGGCGGTGGTGGATTCTCTGTTGTGGTATTGACTACGCGCCTTATAGGCCTACCGCGAGGCATCTTTTGCTATAATGAATATGAGATGAAACGGTGATAAGTCTGTAGTAGTCGTTATAAGTCGAATGATGATTAAACTAAGTTATCGTAGTTTGAGTGTATCCTGTTCCAACTTTCATAGGGTTCTGAAACAATTCATAATAGAAGTATATATAAAATAAACTTTATGAATTAGTAGTGACTACTCTCGAATGAATTTATGTGAATTGAATATCTGTTACCAACTGTTACGAAATATGAAATAATCCTAACACATAGTGTGAGTAGTGTATTCACTAACTCACTAGGTTATTTTTAGTTTATTAGTTATTTATGCGACGCATAAGATGTTTGGTTTCTTCGGCTGATCTCCTTTCTGTCGTGCTGAGATGATGGAGACATGCCTAAAGAATCTATGAGATTAAGTGAAACATTATGGGGTGATCCTTACCGGGTCCTCCTATAATTGCACTGTGTATACAAGTTGTATATAATTTAAGATTAAATAGACCTTCGAATAAGTGACCCTACTCTAAAACCACAACCAAACAAGGAACAGGAAGTAGAGCATAGATCACCAATTCTAAGTCTATAAAATCTCAATTATATA